ATGCCCGAGCGTTGAGAGGACAGCGCCTATCCCTACCTCGGACGCATCCACCTCCACTACGAATGATAGTGATGGATCGGGGTGGGCCATTACCTGGGCTGAGGTGAACAGACCCCTCAGGTTACTGAAGACCCTGTCAGCCTCAGCAGACCAGCAGAGCCGGGACGGCCCACCCTTCAACAGAGATGTAATGGGAGCTGCGACCTTGCCAAAGCCCCGGATAAACCTCCAATAGTAGTTGGCAAAGCTAATAAAGCGCTGCACCTCCTTAACCATGGTTGGAGTTGGCCAATTACGCACGGCTGAAATGCAATCGCCCTCCATCTCCACACCTGAGGTGGTAATGCGGTATCTGAGGAAGGAGATGGACTGCTGGAAAAACAGACACTTTTCTGCCTTGGCATAAAGGTCATTTTCCAACAGTCGGGCCAGCACTTTGTAAACCAGGGACACATGCTCGGCGCGCGTAGTGGAATACACCAGAATGTCATCGATGTAGACCACTACACCGCGACCAAGCATGTCCCGAAACACCTTGTTCACAAAGGACTGGAAGACGGATAGAGCATTCATCAAACCATAGGGCATCACCAGGTATTCATAATGCCCCGTGGTTGTGCTGAATGCTGTCTTTCACTCATCCCCCTCTCGGACACGCACCAGGTTGTACGCGCTCCGGAGATCTAATTTGGTGAAGAAGCGCGCCCCATGCATTGACTCGATCACTGAAGGAATGAGGGGGAGAGGATAACTAAATCGTATCATCTCCTTGTTCAGTGATCGATAATCAATGCAAGGGCGCAGACCGCCGTCTTTCTTCTTCACAAAAAAGAAACTAGAGGAGGCGGGTGAAGTGGAGGGACGTATTAACCCCTGGCGCAGGGACTCGGTGACGTATGTTTCCATAGCCTCCGTTTCAGCCTGTGACAGGGGATACACATGACTCCTGGGAGGCACAGTATCTAGGAGGTTTATCGCGCAATCCCCAGCCCGATGAGGTGGTAACTTGGTCGCCTGCATTTTGGAAAACGCATGCGCCTAATCGAGGTATTCGGGGGGAATGTGCACGGTGGAGGTACTGTCTGGACTTTCCACCGTGGTTGCACCAACGGAAACACCGAGACACCTACCCTGACACTCTCGCGACCACCCCGTGAGAAACCTCTGCGGCCAAGAGAAGGTGGGGTTGTGGAGTGCTAACCAAGGAATACCTAATACCACAGGGAAAGCAGGAGACTCAATAATAAAAAAAGTGACTTGTTGCAATGAGGCTGATGGGTAACCATGGTGACTGGTGCTGTAACTTCCCTAACAAGGCCGGACCCTAATGGTCGACTGTCAAGTGCTCTGATGGGGAGTCGAATAGATAGGGGAACCAATGAAATGCCTAGACTGTGTGAGAATGCCCTGTCCATAAAGTTCCCAGCTGCGCCTGAATCTACTAGCGCCTTACATTGGAGAACTACAATGTGATCAGGAAAGTTGATGGGTAGGGTACAGTGCGCAGCAGAGGGCTCTGAACGAGTGTGGGTGTTCGATACCTGTGGTGACGTGAGAGTGCCCTGCCTGCCGCCTCCAGACCCAAAAGAACGCTGACGACAACATGCGGTGTAATGTCCCTTCGTGCCACCAGAGTGATACTGGTGCTGTCGTCCTCTGCTCTCTCGGATCGCCGCTCCACCCAGCTCCATCAGCTCGTGATCCGAGTCGAGCGGGGTTGGAACGGGCAGACCCCCTCCAGGATGTCCTCTGGCTGCCAGCAGGTTGTCCAAGCAGATGGCCATGTCCACCAGTTGCGTGAAAGACAACATGGTGTCCCGGCAGGCTAGCTCCCTTCGGACATCCTCCAGCAGATGGCACCGGAAGTGGTCGATGAGGGCCAACTCGTTCCACCCGGACCCAGCTGCTAGAGTCCGTAACTCCAGAGCGAAGTCCTGCGCAGTCCTCATCCCCTGCCTCAGGTGGACCACCCGCTCGCCCGCCTCTTGACCCTCGGGCGGATGATCGAAGACTCCCCGTAGTTGTCCAACGCAGCTCCTCCTTCATTCCAGACCGCGTTGGCCCACTCCAGGGCTTTGCCGAGAGGCAGCAGACGAGGGCGGACACCTTCTCCCGCTCCGATGGGGCCGGGCTGATGCTGGAATAATAGAGCTCTAGTTGGAGGAGGAATCCCTGGCAGAGAGCAGCTGTCCCGTCGAAATCCCGTGGTCGGGATATATGGATCCCTCTGGGTGCTGGGGTGTGGGTGGCTGGATCCGGTCGCCCAGCTGGTCTCGACAGATCGGGTTCTCTCCTCTCCAGGCGTTGGACGACCTGGAGAACCCGATCCATCGCTTCTCCCAAGCTGGCTAGCATCGTCGAATGCTCGTGGACCCGTACCACGACTCCAGGCATGCGCTCCTCTCCCGCTGACTCCATACCGGGTGGGTGATTCTGTGATAGGTGATTTGAAGGAGTCAGGCGCAAGACGGTAAATCACAGAATACAGAGTTTATTCCGTAGTACAGAGTTACGCTGGATAGCGTCAAACAGTCTAGTGCGCAAAACAGGCGCACTGGAACAAAACAGGCACACGGGGAAAATATACCCCGGCAAAACAAAATACAAGTAGCTCAACCGAGCTACTCTCTCCTCACATTAAACAATCACCCACAGGGACAAGGGGGGCAGAGGGAACACTTATACATGTACTAATGAGGGGATATGAACCAGGTGTGTGTAATAGACAAGACAAAACAAATGGAATGATGAGATATGGAGCGGCAGTGGCTAGAAGGCCGGTGACGACGAACGCCAAAGCCTGCCCGAACAAGGAGAGGAGGCAGCTTTGGAGGAAGTCGTGACACTGAGCTAGATAACACATTGTTGGAGTGTTACTCATGAACAACCGGTTTCCGGATACATGTTTTGATTGAATGACAGTATGATAGGAAATTACTGTAAAATTATCTCTCTACCTGCCTAGTTTACACGAAAGCACAGATACAGACAAAATAGGATTTAGCACAAAACAGCATTAACAGTCAATGTGTGAAAATACATATGGCTTTCAAGGTAGAATATCACGGTAGCATAACGCATTACAATGCAAGATATGGGCAGTAGTAACTACTCATATCGTGGTCATCTGTAGCTCAATTCGATCCCCGGGACCACCCATGACTGTAATTCGCTTTGGATAAAAGCGTCTGCTAAATGGCATATTATTATTATATCTACATTTATAGGAGCATTATAAACATGCTATGTAATGACTAATATTGGCACCCAGAACAAAATCTCAAGCAGTGTTACAATGCCCTATAGACGGGTTGGTTGTTTAGCAACCAAATCAACACTTGTGCAATTATGGGGCAAACAGACTGGGTTGGCTTAGATTGTTGACACGTAAACTATATTTCTTCGCCAAATATTTTATGAAAACATAAATACATTTGCACAATGAGCACTTGTTGTCTCTCAAATAGATTGTTACAGTTGTTGGTTAGCTAGGTAGCGAAGTCAAAACACCTCAAAACAAGACATGGTATCAATAACAACGAGCTGAAACGGGCCACCTACGATTCCCCACATTACATTTACATTTACGTCATTTAGCAGACGCTCTTATCCAGAGCGACTTACAAATTGGTGCATTCACCTTATAGCCAGTGGGATAACCACTTTACAATAAAAAATAAAAAAACAACTTTTTTTTTTTTTGGGGGGGGGGGGTGGGGTAAGGGGGGGTAGAAGGATTACTTTATCCTATCCCAGGTATTCCTTAAAGAGGTGGGGTTTCAAGTGTCTCCGGAAGGTGGTGAGTGACTCCGCTGTCCTGGCGTCGTGAGGGAGCTTGTTCCACCATTGGGGTGCCAGAGCAGCGAACAGTTTTGACTGGGCTGAGCGGGAACTGTGCTTCCGCAGAGGTAGGGGAGCCAGCAGGCCAGAGGTGGATGAACGCAATGCCCTCGTTTGGGTGTAAGGACTGATCAGAGCCTGAAGGTACGGAGGTGCTGTTCCCCTCACAGCTCCGTAGGCAAGCACCATGGTCTTGTAGCAGATGCAAGCTTCAACTGGAAGCCAGTGGAGTGTGCGGAGGAGCGGGGTGACGTGAGAGAACTTGGGAAGGTTGAACACCAGACAGGCTGCGGCATTCTGGATGAGTTGTAGGGGTTTAATGGCATAGGCAGGGAGCCCAGCCAACAGCGAGTTGCAGTAATCCAGACGGGAGATGACAAGTGCCTGGATTAGGACCTGTGCCGCTTCCTGCGTAAGGCAGGGTCGTACTCTCCGAACGTTGTAGAGCATGAACCTACAGGATCGGGTCACCGCCTTGATGTTAGCGGAGAACGACAGGGTGTTGTCCAGGGTCACGCCAAGGCTCTTTGCACTCTGGGAGGAGGACACAACGGAGTTGTCAACCGTGATGGCGAGATCATGGAACGGGCAGTCCTTCCCCGGGAGGAAGAGCAGCTCCGTCTTGCCGAGGTTCAGCTTGAGGTGGTGATCCATCATCCACACTGATATGTCTGCCAGACATGCAGAGATGCGATTCACCACCTGGTTATCATAAGGGGGAAAGGAGAAGATTAGTTGTGTGTCGTCTGCGTAGCAATGATAGGAGAGGCCATGTGAGGATATGACAGAGCCAAGTGACTTGGTGTATAGCGAGAATAGGAGAAGGGCCTAGAACTGAGCCCTGGGGGACACCAGTGGTGAGAGCACGTGGTGCGGAGACAGATTCTCGCCACGCCACTTGGTAGGAGCGACCTGTCAGGTACGACGCAATCCAAGAGTGAGCCGCGCCGGAGATGCCCAACTCGGAGAGGGTGGAGAGGAGGATCTGATGGTTCACAGTAGCTTCTTGTCATTGTTGCTAATTATCTGACCGTTCAGAATAATAACACCACACGGCCTTCTGCCTCATCGATGCACGTGCATCATTTTTGTGATGTTGTCAGCCAACTAGTCTATTGCCCATGTAAAATGCTCATTAGGGATATAAATCCCTTCTCACCCTACCCATAGCTAAGCTGAGGCCCGAGTCTGGAGGTCATGTCCCCTGTCCTCACTGTGCTCAGGGATTTTTTGTACTGTCCCTTAGAGGCAGCTACAGTCCCTGACGGTCTGTATGGGGGAGTCTCTGCAGTGGCTTCCTCCCCAAGGTCCAGCGAAAACATCAGGACAGATGGTCTGTGAAGAGAGGAGAGAACGAGCCAAATTAGGCTAGATAAAGTGTCAGTTAATGGTCTCATGCACAGCAGTGTCACATACTATAAATCTCAGATCTGTTAAAATCCAGATTGATAGGGTTTATTTTATGTGGATAGAACCAATGTAAGAGATGAGACTGGAGCTGTTGCATTGTACTGTATGCTGGTCCATTCAGAAAATATTCAGACCCCTTGACTTTTTCCACATTTTGTTACCTTACAGCCTTATTCTAAAATTGATTAAATCGTTTTTTCCCCTCATCAATCTACACACAATACCCCATAATGACAAAGCAAAAACTGGTTATTTGAAATTTTAGCAAATTTATAAAGAAAATAAAACTGAAATATCACATTTACATAAGTATTCAGACCCTTTACTCAGTACTTTGTTGAAGCACATTTGGCAGTGATTACAGCCTCAAGTCTTCATGGGTATGACGCTGCAAGCTTGGCACACCTGTATTTGGGGAGTTTCTCCCATTTTTCTCTGCAGATCCTCTCAAGCTCTGTCAGGTTGGATGGGGAGCGTCGCTGCACAGCTATTTTCAGGTCTCTCCAGAGATGTTAAATCGGGTTCAAGTCCAGGCTCTGGCAGGGCCACTCAAGGACATTCAGAGACTTGTCCCGAAGCCTCTCCTGCGTTGTCTTGGCTGTGTGCTTAGGGTCGTTGTCCTGTTGGAAGGTGAACCATCGCCCCAGTCTGAGGTCCTGAGCACTCTGGAGCAGGTTTTCATCAAGGATCTCTCTGTACTTTGCTCCGTTCATCTTTCCCTTGATCCTGACTAGTCTCAATGTCCCTGCCGCTGTAAAACATCCCCACAGCATGATGCTTCACCGTAGGGATGGTGCCAGGTTTCCTCCAGACGTGACGCTTGGCATTCAAGTGAAATATTTCAATCTTGGTTTCATCAGACCAGAAAATCTTGTTTCTCATGGTCTGAGAGTCCTTTAGGTGCTTTTTGGCAAACTCCAAGCGGGCTGTCATGTGCCTTTTACTGAGGAGTGGCTTCTGTGTGGCCACTCTACCACAAAGGCCTGATTGGTGGAGTGCTACCGAGATTTTTCCGTCTCCACAGAGGAACTCTGGAGCTCTGTCAGAGTGACCATTGGGTTCTTGGTCACCTCCCTGACCAAGGCCCTTCTCCCACGATTGCTCAGTTTGGGCGGATGGCCAGCTCAAGGAAGAGTCTTGGTGGTTCCAAACTTCTTCCATTTAAGAATGATGGAGGCCACTGTGTTCTTGGGGACCTTCAATGCTGCAGACATTTTTTGGTACCCTTCCCCAGATCTGTGCCTCTGCACAATCCTGTCTCTGAGCTCTTTGGCAAGCTAACCAAGAGGCAATTGGGTACTTATAGGCTGCGTTGGAGGTGAGGCCCATAGTCTGTGGACTTCCACCATGGTAGGACCCCCTGCAACAGGCAATCAGAGTTTATTCCACAGTTTAGTTTATGATCAACTAAACATTTAATATTAATGGGGATTTTTCAGTAGACTATAAGTTAAACTATATGTTAAACATAGTTCAATCTTTTCAGACTATAAGTTAAACATAGTTAATCACAACATAACAAGTGTTAAGACTAAGTGGTACAGAAGGAAGAGGCCTAGAACAGAGCCAGGAAATGGACCTGAGAATGGGCCTGCTATGTGTGAGAACTGCCTGCTATGTGTGGGAACTGCCTGCTATGTGTGGGAACTGTATATGTTCGAGAATTGATTTTGGCTCAGAAAATGGACCTGCCATGTTTAAGCCATGTTTAAGTATCGATTGATATGTTTAAGAATCAATTAGAGGGTCAGAACAGAGCCAGTAAATGGCTCTGTTATTCTTACATGACAGGGCTTGGTCCCGCCACTATTGTTTCCGGAAACTGAATACATAGAAGGAAGAGAAGTCTGATTTCGCGGGCTGAGCGGTCAAGAGGTGAAAACTGGAAACAGTGGTGGAGTAACCAAACAGGGAGGGATTAAGCTAAAAAGTATGTAAAATGAGCAGGAATAGAACTGTATATAAACTGAGAGCTGAGTGTTGGAAAGTTAGTTGCTCTGCAGACCAGCTCGGCTCTATTGCTTGTGTAATAAAGTATATCTTAATTCTACAAAAACTCTGGAAGTACTTTGATTTTTTAATAAGTATAAGGACAATTTTCTACATCAATATCCACTTCAACGCATGAAGAAATGCGTTCTCTGAATGTTCTCTTTGTTCTCCTGAGCCAGCGGAATGTTACACTGCAGTGAGAAGCAGGTCAAACCTCTCCTGTGAGGTAACACTAGAGTAAAACATACTATTACTACACACTCGTCTAGATGCGCACATGCATGTGCAATACATGTAAGTGTAATATCACTCCCTTACACAGGTCAGATAAAGAGACAATAACATACAGTAGGCCTATTAGTACTCATCACAGTTAAACATGCAGTAGTAAATAGACTTGACATACAATACCAAGGTTTCATTACCTCAGTGTGATGATATCAACGTTTCCTGTGTGTAGTCTAGCCATAAGCATAGCCAGGTCATTAGCCTCAGAGACACTGTTTGTCAGGCAGACGATCTAGCAGGAGAGACCAGGTAAGACAGCATATTCACATTGTAAGACCCTTTTCTCCATAGGAATCCATACAATTCATGCTCATGGGATTGGCCATTTTGTAATCGGAACCTACGAACCTACAGAACCTTCGTAACCTGAGGTAAGCTGAAACACCACTCACGCTATCACAGTCTCAATTCAGGAACCAAACTGAAATTCTAATTCAAATTGCCCTTGTTGATGGGGAAAATTTGAATATCAGTTTACTTCCTGAATTGACTCAAATGAAATGATTTGACCCCAACCCAGCCCAGTATCTTGAGTGGTACCTTGATTGGGTCTGGCAGCATGGCAGCTAGTTTCTCAGTGTACTCATGCAGAGATGTTAGTTGTGTGCCACAGCTTACAGGGCTGCTTCTCTACTGCCACTGTCACCTTGCTACAGAGACACAACAACAGCAACAGCTTAGAAATGTTCACAGACAATCTTTGGAACTTCATTTAAATACAATGATGAGGCGATACAATAAGTGATAAAAAAATATATATATATATATATTTATCTAACCTTTATCAGGGAGTCATACTGAGACCAATGTCTCTTTTACAGATGAGCCCTGAATTACAGAAATCACAGAAAATGCACACATCAAAATATAAATACAAAATGCAAGCAGAAAGAAAGAAAAACAAGGTAATAAAAAACAAGCACGTTCATCAGTAATAAGGTCCTCAATCAGCTTTCTGAATTGCCCTAAAGGCACCAAAACATCAAATTTAAGAACATTTTGAAGATTGTTCCACAAATAAGGTGCAAGAAAACTAAAAGCTGATTTACGTAACTCAGTAGAGACCAAAGGAATTTCCAGAGTTAGCCATCGCTGAGACCGGGTATGGTAACTCGTATGTCTAAAGTTTAGCAATGATGTTAGGTACAGTGGGACTTTTTGCAAAAGGGCTTTATAAATGAAAACATAGCAATGTATCAACCTACGTGACATCAAAGAGGGCCAACCAACTTTCTGGTAGAGAATGCAGTCATGAGTACAAAAATTGTCGCCCGTAATAAAGTGCAGTACACTATGATAAACTGCATCTAACAGATTTAATGAAGTGGCAGCTGCATTCATATAGATGATGTCACCATAGTCTAGGACTGATAGGAACGTCGACTTGTCACGATCGTTATAGGAACCGGACCAAGGCGCAGCGTGATGGGCGTACATCTTTTAATGAGTACTTACACAATAACAAAACGATACGTGAAGTCTAAAGGTTCACCAACACAAACCTATACAGAACAAGATCCCACAAATAACTAGTGCCAACAGGCTGCCTAAGTATGGTTCCCAATCAGAGACAACGAGAATCAGCTGCCTCTGATTGGGAACCACCCTGGCCAACATAGATCTACACAAACTAGAACAAAACATAGAAAATACAACATAGACAATCCACACCCTGGCTCAACATATAAGAGTCCCCAGAGCCAGGGCGTGACAGTACCCCCCCCCCCCCCCCCAAAGGCGCGGACTGCGACCGCGCCAACCAAACACAAGAGGGTAGGGGCCGGGTGGGCATTCCGCCTCGGAGGCGGATCCGGCTCCGGGCGTGACCACCACTCTCTCTCTACCCCCCCCGTAGCGCCCCTGGTCTGGTCTGACCCCGCTGGCTGGAGCTGGACTGGACATCGGTGGAGCGGATTGCTTTGGCTCCGGTGTGGAGCAGCTGACCGGTGCCGGACCAGGCACCGGTGGAACAGGAACGGGCCGGTGCTAGCACAGGACGTACAGGACTGTGCCGGAACACTCGCGGCACAGTACGTGGCTCCGCATAACACGGAGCCTGCCCAGACTCACGCTTCCTAGCCTGAGTACGGGGAGTTGGCTCTGCTCTACCTCTAGGCTCCGCCAACCACCCCTTTAGCCCCCCCCAAAAAAATCCCTTGGGGCTGTCTCTCGGGCTTCCTCCTCGGCCGGTACCCTCTGCGTTGCCGCTGCTCCTCTCTGTAGCGCGCCTCCACAGTCTCCTCCCAGGGACGGCGATCCATTCCGGCCTGAATCTCGTCCCAAGTCCAGGATCCCTTCCCGTCCAGGATCTCCTCCCAAGTCCAGGCTGTCTGTTCCTGGACACGCTGCTTGGTCTTCCTTTGGTGGGATCTTCTGTCACAATCGTTATAGGAACCGGACCAAGGCGCAGCGTGATAGGCGTACATCTTTTAATGAGTACTTACACAATAACAAAACAACAAAACGATACGTGAAGTCTAAAGGTTCACCAACACAAACCTATACAGAACAAGATCCCACAAATAACTAGTGCCAACAGGCTGCCTAAGTATGGTTCCCAATCAGAGACAACGAGAATCAGCTGCCTCTGATTGGGAACAACCCTGGCCAACATAGATCTACAAGAACTAGAACAAAACGTAGAAAATACAACATAGACAATCCACACCCTGGCTCAACATATAAGAGTCCCCAGAGCCAGGGCGTGACACCACTGAATAATCAGCTATTTAGTGAGAAGCATGACCTATTTCTATAGAAGAAGTTTCTTAACTAACTCATCAATGTTTCTTCCCAATTTTGATCTTGTCTCATCGCTGCAACTCCCCAACTGGCTCAAGAGAGGCGAAGGTGAAGTCATGCGTCCTCCGAAACATGACCCGCCAAACCGCGCTCCTTAACAACCGCCCGCTTAACCTGGAAGCACCAATGTGTCAGAGGAAACACTGTTTTAACTGACAACTGAAGTCAACCTGCAAGCACCCGGCCCGCCACAAGGAGTCGCTAGAGTGCAGTGCCTTAGATCGCTGCGCCACTCGGGAAACCCTATCAATCTGCTTTTTAGAAGACAGCTTTCCTGATGCCCAGATATTTGTCAGCAGGGACGCCATCGATATGGACATCCAAAATACATATGCCTAAATCATCAGAGTTAGAGAACAACATATACTTAGTTTTACCTGCATTCAATACTAATTTCAGGTCAATGAAGTTTTTCTGTAATACAATGAAGGAAGACTGTAGTTCAGATAGAGCCTGGACAACCGTGGGGGCAATAGCATACAAACTGTATCATCGGCATTCAAGTGCAGATTACAATTTCTTACAGACAAGGCTACACTAGTATACAGAACATTAAGGATACCTGCTCGTTCCATGACATAGACTGACCAGGTGAATCCAGGTGAAAGCTATGATTCCTTATTGATGTCACTTGTTAAATCCACTTCAATCAGTGTAGATGAAGGGAGGAGACAGGTTAAAGAAGGATTTTTAAGCCTTGAGACAATTGAGACATGGATTGTGTATGTGTGCCATTCAGAGGGTGAATGTGCAAGATAAAAAATGTAAGTGTCTGTGAATGGGGTATGGTAGTAGGTGCCTGGTGCCCGGTTTGGTCAAGAACTGCAACGCTGCTGGGTTTTCACGCTCAACAGTTTACCGTGTGTATCAAGAATCGTCCACCACCCAAAGGACTTCTGTGGGAAGCATTGGAGTCAATATGGGCCAGCATCCAGGTGGAACGCTTTCGACACCTTGTAAAGTCCATGCCCCGATGAATTGAGGCTGTTCTGCGGGAAACCTTTCATAATATCCAGGAAACCTGATTTAACACCATCAGTAGATACACAGAGTTCTATCTGTCAAGAAATGTGTAAACCAGTTATATGCAGCCTGGTCTAGGTCAGTTGAAGAAAGCCTCTGAATTAGCAAGAAGTGATCAGCAGTATCAAAAGCCTTTGACAGGTCAATGAAGAAGGCAGCACAATGTTGCCTTTTATCCATACAGTTAAGCACATCATTTATAACTAGGGATGCAGCTCATTCCCATAAGAGCTAACAGGCATAGGGTCATCTGCAGCTATTTGTCGAGTGAGCTGAGAATTTGCCAAGGTCCCACATGAGAGCAGAGCAGACTGAGCATTCGACAGACCTCCCTCAAGTCGCTGGATGCTGTGGCGGGAACTGGGTGATCAGTGTTGTCAGAGCTCAGTCCACCCGGATGAAGCTCCCTCCTAAGGATTGGAGTTGCTGCAGGGAACTGGAGTGGCTGCCAATGCTCCATTTTGGGTGTACACAGGAAGCCTTGGTGTGGCTCCTGTTGCCGGGTTGGGGCTGCCAGGACGGGCAAGAGTGTCCCAGGCCTGTCTTGGGGATGAGGGTAGGGAGGGTAACCAAAACTAGCTTGGGAGGAAGGTTGTGGGGGGAATTGAGGAGGGTGGTGTGGAGGGCAGTGTGCCTGGCGAAGCTCCAAACTCTCAGCATATGAGGGATGATAATGTCAATGATACATGGTGTGGGAAGCATCATATGGTGCACTAACCTCAACAGTGTTTTGACAGACCCTAGGGTAGTGGTCAGTGTTAGTGCAGAGCTGAGCTGCGCTGTGATGGACCAGGTCTGGTAGAGCTGTGCTGAGGCTGGCCGGGTCTAGTAGAGCTGTGCTGAGGCTGGCCGGGTCTAGTAGAGCTGTGCTGTAATGGGTCGGGTCTACTTGAGCTATGCTGTGATGGGCCGGGTCTGGTAGAGCTGTGCTGATGCAGACCTGGTCTAGTAGAGCTGTGCTAAGGTGGGCCTGGTCTGGTAGCTTGGGGGGGAGGTTGTAGGGGGAATTGAAAAGGGTGGTGTGGAGGGCAGTGTGGCCGGCAATGCTCCAAACTCTGCGTGGGGCCTCTGGCTTGGGCATAGCTCAGTGTATCTGCATGCAGTTCCTGGGAGAGAAGTAATGGAGGGTGGTGTGGGGGGCAGTGTTGCTGACTGTTCTCCAGTCTCGAATGCAGGTCTAAAGGAGCGTCTGATTTGTCTCAGGAAGTTGGTGACTGGTCTGCTTCTCCTGTGGGGTGAGGTGGACTGGCCACCCAGAGCAACATCCTTTAACATCCTGGCGAAGGTGGGGACTGTCTCTTTGTACAGGTGTACATTGTCGTAAAGACAGTCCAGGCTGAGGGTGGGATGGTGGGCCAAGTGTACGTTGGGCCATAGCACACAGTCCCGAGAGAGGCTGGCAATTTACCCTCTGGATGGCAGCAGGGTGGAAATCTTTCGTCTGGAACAGGGAAGATCTTACAATCTTCGCAAGGGGAAAGGTGGTGGAGGCCCTCTCTATCACTCCCCTTAGTGATGTGGCCACCCTCTCCTGTTGGGCTTGCAGGAAATTGGTCCCTGTGAATGATGATATGGCTGGGGGAGCCAAGCTGGGCCACAGTCAAGAGCTCCATAGCTCTCTCTGTCGTGGGGCACGATAACTTTGCGACCTTTTCATTTGGGAAAAGTTTATTCATTGGAGTCCATCATTAATATAATGTATGGTTTCTCGTCAAGTCTGTGGAGGATGGCAGGAG